TCTCTCTCTCTCTCTCTCTCTCTCACACACACACACACGTTTCCCTTATAAAATACATAAACAAAACCACTCTCAGTCAAACTTGAGGGAAACTATCTTACTGTGATTTGTAATTCAGACAGAAGGTCTTTGCCCTTGCAGAATTATCTTTCAGTTACTTTTAATATAGAAACATTTTTCTTTGTCTCCTCTAAAATAGAATATTTTCATTACAGTTTACAAACAATTAAATCTAGGCAGAAAATCAAATTCTAAATTAATTTAAGGCTATCATTAAACTACTGTTTTGGAAAATGACTGAAGCATTCCATTTTAGCCAGAATTGTGCATGCTGTATCTAATTACACTTTTTAAATGTTATTTGTATGAACACAGTGGTGGCTACTAGTATTTCAACATGGAAAACAAACTATTTTTTATATAAATCTCTTATACTTATGATCATTATTTGAAAATGTAGTTTTGCTGTGTATAACTTTCATAAAGGGAGACCATCCGCTACAAACATTCACATTTTAATTTTATAAAGTTCTGACATACAATATAAAGTTGTAATATTTTAGGTAAAATTCAAAAACACATCTCACTTAAGAAATAAGATCAATAAAGGAACAGAACAGACAGCATTGAGAAAATAATCCCTTACTAACTGTAACTAGAAAAGGGACTGCTTAAAGAATTCTCCAGTATCATAACAGATATTCTACCCTGCAAAGCAAATCAAATGCTATAAATCTATCAAAAGAATGGCAAGAAATCATTATAACTCAAGGTCATGAGGAACACTGGTGAAGGCCAAACCCATATGGGAGACAACAGAGGATGACTGGGGACTGAAATCCAGTTTGTTCTCTCCTCTTTAAGTCCTGAGCCTAGCAGAAGATATCATCCACCTAGCAAGCTGTGGCCAGCTATGACTCTTTTAAAGAACTACTTCTTAGAAGAGTTAGGACAACTGAAATACTGAATATTGCTGCCTTTGCCTGAAATCATAACCCTACGGTATCAATTCTTACAATGTGTTGACAACGTGTAAAATTATCAATATAGCAAAACATAAGTAGGTTGGGGAAAAAGAGAAGTCATCTAAAAATCTAAACAGTGGCTTAAGAAATGGTCTCATTCTAGACTCAACAACAACAAAGAAAACAATCCAGTCCAAAAATGGGCAGAAGAGCTAAAAAGAAACTTCTCTGAAGAGGAAATGCAAATGGCCAACAGGCATATGAAAAAATGTTCAATATCACTTGTAATCAGGGAAATGCAAATCAAAACTACCATGAGATACCATCTTACACCAGTGAGAATGGCACATATTAAAAAAACTAGCAACAACAAATATTGGCCAGGGTGTGGAGAAAAAGGAACTCTTCTGCACTGTTGGTGGGAGTGCAAACTGGTCCAACCACTATGGAGAGCTGTGTGGAGATTTCTGGACCTACTAAACATAGAGCTTCCATAGGATCCAGCAATTCCACGCCTAGGTATTTACCCAAAGGACACAGAAACATCAATTCCAAAGAGCACCTGCACCCCTATGTTTATAGCAGCACTGTTTACAATAGCTAAGCTTTGGAAACAGCCCAAATGCCCAAAAATAGATGACTGGATCAAGAAGATGTGGTACATATATACCATGGAATATTACTCAGCATTCAAAAAAGATAAACACATGCAATTTGCAGCAACATGGATGGCGCTGGAAGGGATCATGCTCAGCGAAATAAGCCAGAAAGAAAAACAAAAATACCGGATGGTCTCACTCATAGCAGGAATCTAGAAAACTTAAATAAGGGACCAGGAAAATGAATAACTCTAAGAAAGTGAAAATCAAAATCAACAAAAAACTATGAACCAGAGACACTTTTTGGGGGGTGGGGGCGGGAGGGGAGGGATTGGGGTCAGAATGGGGGGTTGCAATTGTATGGGGGAATATAAAAATAAAATTTATTATTTAAAAAAAAATGAAAAATGATGTAAAAAACATATAAAATTAAAAAATAAAAAAGAACATAAAGCAAAAAAAAAAAAAGAAATGGTCTCATTCTATGTAATCTAAATTTCTCTGACTAGTAACAGGTTATATATATTTATATTGCTTGAGCCTATGTTTTTGGGGTGAGATGTTTAAAAACTGAACGGTCAAAAATAAGAGGCTTAAGGGTTAAAATGTTAAGAGACTTCCTATTTGACTCTATTTCTATTAGAAAAATATATAGTTTATTTTATACAACATAAAACAGAGTGCTAACAATTACGTATTGGTCACAAATACTAATACTAAAGCATCTTAAACTAAAGCTGCAGAAATTAAATTTGGTGGAAACTAAAAGTAATTTTTTGAATGTCAATGTCACGCATTTCATTTAATTGTATTGAGAGCTCAAAGTTTCTGTAAATCATGCTTACTTAAAGCAAGACAGATCATTATCTTAAAATTATACAAATATTAATCAAGGTAAATAATCCAAACTACTGATTAAAGACTTAACTTCAAATTTTTTATCAAAAGGGCCAATCTATAAAAATATTTTTTTCAAGATATACCAACAAATTAGCCAAATCAGAATTCACTTCCTTACTAGCTCAATCAGTTATACAAAGCAGAGCAAGAACATAACTCAAACTCTTAACAGAAAATTATGAAGATATAACCACAAGGTACCTAGAGTCTGTTACAGATCCACACAATTAAAATTACCATGAGAGGGGGCCTCCCCGGTGGCGCAGCAGTTGAGCGCTGGGTTGCAAGGCTGGCTGCTCCCCGGCCACCAGAGGAGGGTCCCACATGGCAAGGACCTCTCCTGCCGCCCGCTGCTCCCCTCAGCAGTGTACTTCGGTCCTTCTGCCTGCTCTGCTTCCTGCTCTGCTCTGGTGAATTCTCTCACCCTCCCGCGCTTCTGACTGTACCCAGTGCTTGTATAAATAAATAAATAAATAAATAAATAAATCTTTTTAAAAAATAATTTAAAAAAATAAAATCACCATGAGAGAGGAAACTGTCAACTGCTTATACTAACACCAAAAAGCCCATCCACATATGACCTTTCATTCCCAGATAAATCATACCTACATAAAAACAATGTCCTGTCTTCACGTGGGACACTCAAGAGAAATAAAGAGCACAGCAAGGCAAGGTACAGAAATGAAAAATGAGATCCTAGTGCTCCAAAACCAACAACTTACTCTCAATATTAACGAGTCCTTCATTTGTAAAATGTAGTTACTAAACATAAAGAAAAAGAGGTATGCAAAATTTTGTGCAATCTCTGAGCCCATCCTTCCAATCGCGACTCCAAAAACTTCAAATTATAGGGAAAATCTCTAATTTGAAGCTCCTCTGTCAACATATCAATCTATTCATAAGGAAAGAACATTTCACATTTAAGTACTCCTAAGCATGTAGTTATTAACTCAAGGGCAACACTAAGAGTCAAAAAAACAACTGCCATAAAAAGACACTGTCTACATCTTTCGAGCCTAATGGAGGAAGCACCCTAAATAGTCCCTAAAACTTAAACATGACTCAAATTATAACAGCTGAAGTTACACCTACAGCTGTCAGTGAGATTTAGACAAAGTGCAAAGTTCTAAGCTATGGTCATGAGAAAGGCTGAATTCCTACAGTGTTTTAACTCAAGTCAGAGTTTTAAGTGATTAGCAGACAAAAAATTATCTGAGAAATTTAAGTAAGATGAGAAAAGAAAAAACATTCAAAGTTTACAGAAGAAAAAACAAGGTTTATATTTTAAAATGAGAATTAAATTTTATTATTCCTATCAGACCTATGCATTTTAGGTCTGTGACCCACTTTGAATTCATTTTTGTATTCGGCCCAAGGTAAGTGATGAGCTTTATTTCTTTGCATTTGAAAATCATAGAAATGCCAGAGGCATTTTAGAAAATATTCTGTTTTCTATTGTGGAATTACCTTGGAACCTTTGTTAAAGATCAGTTTACTATTATATCTGGGCCTTTGGATAATTTGCTTCAAATGGGAAAACAATGCTTTTCTCCTTGTTTCCCAAACTGAAGAATACCACTATCCTTCAGTCAAGTTTAACAAGAAAAATCCATAGCCATAAGAAACCTAGGAAACCAAAATAATGTATGTTAACAAAGAACTCATTTTCTAAGTTCATAAAATTTCTACCATTTAATTATTCAAGGAAAATTTCAGGCCTTATGTTTAACAGCAAAGTCATTTTTTGAATGTCAAAAACAACAAAAAATGTTCTAAATTACCTTTCCCAAGTTTTTTACTGGGTTTGACCAATGATTTCTTATATCTAAAATGTTAGTATTAAATAAAACATACCAAAGAATAAGCCCTACTACCATTTTTCAAAGTAACATTATTTTTAAATATTCTAGTATTACATACTTTCTTTTCCATTTTGAGTAGAAGACAGAAATTCACTCATAAAAACTTTTGAGTTAGACTACACATCTTTCTGATTTTGACCCACCAGCTTAGGCCAATGTATGTGTTTAAATCAAAATGGTCTTCTTCAGAGCTTTGCATGATGAACCCATAATTTAAGGCAATAACTTTAAAGTCACAAAAAAGCCCAATTTGTAAAAGATCTCCTAAATTTGCTTTATTTTTTACCTTTCCCACCCTTTAAGAAGGGTAATCTGTCTCCTTTGTCATTCATTTGAAAATATTTCCCCAGTTTATATAATGCATGTCCTCAAACCCTCCCTCCTATTTATGGACTACATAGTTCAGACCTTTTTCTTTTCAAATAAGGGTAACTGATATAGAAAATGGAGCTGGGAAAGATGAAAGAACCTGGGATTATCTCAACAGTGTAAAATATGAGAATCTACAGAAGTACATAACTGGATTTTACAAATTTCCTTAGTTAATCTACACTAACTCCCAACATAAGCTCTAAAATCATTCCCATTCAAACTCACAAGACAGTATAATTTAAAAAAAAAAAAAAAAGTCCATTGTGTTTACTTCATAACACAGAAAAGGGAAAATATCTTACCAGAAATGATGCATTCAGCAAAAAGTGCACTTAGATATGATCCATGCAGAAAACGCTTCTGTTTCTTTTTCAGAAAATGCAATTCCTTAGTAAAGAAAAAAAATATAAGATGCGTTAGTATTTGCTGGTAATGCAAAATAAAATTAAATATGCATTTCTTTACAAATTCCAACCCTCAACCCTCTTCCTGGCAGATAGCTGCACAAAAGCTTTGAGTAATAGACAAATAGAGCCAAAAAAGTTATTTGACTTGTCTAATAAAAATAGAAAAATATTTCAGCCAATTGAGTATTTCTAATGTTACTAATTCATTTTTTTCCTAAGAAGTGTTACTTAAATTCCATGCACCCCTAGATTCGCAAATTGGTTTCCTAGGTCCCATCTCCCCATCTTCTGTATCACACAGTATGCTTTGTATTTACCCTGTACACACAGTCTATGTTTTGATAAAATAGTAGAAAAATGTTCTTTCTATTAAACTGTCATTTAGAAAATTGTCAGTGGGTTAGTTTTTGTACTGCCTTAAATCGTGTTTCAATACAATGTGTATACTTGTAGTTTCACTATCTTTTAAAAGGAACAATGGCAATAATGAACACACTGCCAAAATTGAATATAAAATTGAACAATGTCAAAATTCACATTGATAAAAGAAAACTGATGAATGGTAAGCAATGGATTGCTTGGAAATAGGTTGAAAAGAAAAGATGATAAAAGCCCCCACTTTCACCCTGATTGGCCAGGATCAACTGTGATGTTAAGTTCAAAAATTTAGAATTACATGGTTGAGTGATTCTACCAATCCCCAAGTAAATCTTCTTTAGCAAATAAAAATGATAATTTCCACACAGAACCACCAACCTTTCTAATCTGACTGAACAATATTAATTATCAAGACATTGTAATTTTGTGTCTATTTAAAAACGAACACTTCTAGAAGGAAAAAAAATGCATAAACTTTCAAATTATTTTATATTAAGTGTTAAAAGCTTGAACTTTAAAGATACATATACATACTCACAAATAAGCCCCTTTTGCAAGGTCTAAAGGAGTTTGATTTAAAATGTTACATAAGCTTTTAATCAAATTGCACTGAAATGCAGAAAAGAAAAAAGCCGCTCAAATACAGTTTTGGTACCAACTTCTAAAGACCAGAAATTCAAAGTGAAACTATTCTTAGTGTGTGCAAACACATCAGTGGTATATATTCTTATATCAAAATTCATTCATCAATTCTCTAAGAAACTGCTAATGATGACTTACATTTTATATAGTTCTCAAATGGTTTCTAAAAAAATCACATTCTAAAAATCAAGTTTTTATAGTTCTTTTTTAATAATCTATATTGAAACAACTTCAAAACATAAAACCAAAACTAAAAGGTTAGTCCTCTGTAGTCAGTTATCTTTAAATTTTATATACTGAACCTCCAATTCACTGCTTTTGTCTAAGGAAAAGCTAGACAATCTGTACCTTCAATGTCTATCCCTCCCAAACCTAGTCCCACCAAAATCCTGGCTCCCTCTACTTCTAATTAACCTACAATGTTGTTAGTCTGAACTACAAGCCACCGCGCTAACTTCCATACTCCAAAACTTTGTTCAAGTTTTTAATCACTGCCTGAAATCAACCTTCTCCCTTGTCTCTCATCTAGATCAACCCTCAAGTTCATCAACACCTTCTGTGAGGACATCCTCTGGAAATCTTCACCTACCTACATCATCACTTACAAGGGAAAAAGTACAGTTTTTTAAGTATGAGTCTCCACTATAATACTATGTGGTTTTATTGAGAAGGAATTTTGTATTTTTTTAATATTCCAATGTCTAGTCAGTATCTGGCACACAATTCAATAATGCTTTCAGAAAATATATACTGAGCATTCCGTATATTCCAGGTACTTTTCTAGGTACTAGGGATAAATTCCTCTCTATCCCTAACCTCACAGGACTTACATTCTAGTGGGGGAGAACATACAGAGTGAAAAATATATATATAATATATATGGCAGATTAATTCAGAAGTTCCTTAATTAGAGGGGGGTAAAAAAAGCACAGATGGAAGTACTGACATTGGGAGGGAAATGATATGTAAGCAAAGGTATCCCAGGAAGGCCTAAGGTGATAACAAGAACAACGACAACAGCAGCAGTAATATTGGAGTATGTAACCCATCCTAATTAGTATCCTAATGCTTTATGAGTTATTAACTGATGTAAATTAACAATAACCTATTATCCTCAAGAGGAAATAAATATTAAGAAGCAACTTGCCAACATTATACAGCGAGTAAAATGAAAAGCCAAGATTAGAATCCAGGCATATTTTTAACACAGTTAATGCTTTTGTTGAATGAATGGGGGCGGGGGGGGGGCAGGGGAGAGTTTGAAAAGGTAGGAAAAGAGAAAAAGAAAGATAAAACAAGTTTAAAAAATACAATGCAAGATGGGACTTAAATCCAGTGATATTCAATATCCCAATTAACAAATGGAGACTGTCAGGCTAGATTAAGAAACATTGTCAAACTGGATCAAGACATACACACTTTAAATTTAACAATAATACATACAAGTTAAACATGAAAAAGAATACACCATACAAATAGTAATCTTAAGAAAGGTGAAGTGCCTATATTAATCTCAGAGAAAGTACAAGAGTGGGAATATTACCAGGTATAAAGGAATATATATCATAATGTTTAAAGTATAAATTTATCTGAAATATGAAATAATCCCAAATGTTTATGCTGCCGATAGTAGTTTCAAAATACATGCAACATGTATACATGATGTAAAGGGTAAGCAGATAAATCTAAAACAGTAACTGGAAGTTTGAATACTCCCTCACGATAATCAGTAAAACAAGTAAATAAAAGATCAGTAAAGATACATAAAACCTACACATGTTCAGTTTGATATAAATGAACATTATAACCAACCTAAGAATAAATGTGCATACATGGCACTTGATATAGTCAACAGAGAGCACATACGCTGGACCATAAAAAATGACACGTATAAATTTATGAGAACTGAAAACACAAGGAAAGAATTAGTAACAAAAACACATTATCTGATTACATGTGGTAGAGCTAAGGATTAAGGGTACTTGGAAATTTACAGCTTTTAAGTATTCATGCTAGAAAATAATAAAATAATAAAGGTTTTAACGTTAGTGTTCTAAATTAGCTTCCACATTAAAAGCTGGGGGGAAAAACATTAAACTAAAGGTAAAGATAAGGAAATGATAAATAGAAAGTGCTGAAACAGATGACAGAAATAATAGATAAAATAAATGAAAACAAAAGCTGGTTGTTGCAAAGAACTCCTAGCTAGTCCAGTAAAGAAAGAAGAGAGAAGACACAAATTACCAACATCAGAATTAAAATAGGACATTATTGCAGCTGTCTCAAACATTAAAAGCATATTAAAGTAATATTAAGTGCAATCCCATGACAACAAATTTGACATACGAAACAGACAAATCTCCTTGAAACATGCAATTACCAAAACTGACAGAAAAAAAGTCTGAATAAATAATCTAATAAGGAAACTGAATTCAAAATCATAAAGCTTCCCCAAAGAAAACTCCAGACTTCCTAGTGAATTTTTCAAATAACTAAAGATATTAGTATCCATCTTTCACAAAATCTTTAAGGAAACAGAGGAAGAGAAAACACTTTCTAATATTTAACAAGGTCAGCATAACCCTAAGAACAAAATAAGATGAAACCACAAGAAAAAGAACTTTCATAGCAATATCACTTGATTATACGGATGCAAATATTATTAATACCAGCAGGTCAAATCCAGCAATATATAAAAAGGAAAACATCAGCACAAGAAGGGTTTGTCTCAAGAATGCACAGTTGGTTTACGCAAAGTTCACAGTGTAATTCACTACAATAACACGCTAAAAAAGAAAAAAAAAAGGATTAATCCCCACAGGTGTGGAGAAAAATATTCATGATAAAATGCCCATTCATAAGGGTAAGGGGTACTTCTCAACTTAGAGGTACCTTCTTAAATTAGGATTAAAGGGAACTTTCTCAACCTAAAAAAGGAATCTATGAAAACCTGCAGTTAACATATTTAACAGAAAAAGACTGATTTCTTTCTCCCTTACGATTGGAAGGATGCCCATTCTCATCATGTCTATCCACCATTTTACTGGAAGTCCTAACAACTGCAATAATGTACAAAATTAAAAATAATAAATATACTATATAAACTATGGAATATAAAAATAAAATACAAATAATTAAACACAAATAATAATAAAGAAAAAAGGTGTCCAGATATAAAAGGAAAAGATAAAGCATGTCCATTTGTGTATGACATGACAATGTAAGTAGCAAACACTAAGAAATCTACAATAAAGTTATTGAAACTAAAAAATGGATTCTGTAAGGATATAGGATACAAGAGCGACATTTTTTTAAAAAAAATTTATTTATGCATACAAGAGCTGGGGTACAGGCCAGAGATGCAGGGGGTGAGAGGGTTCACCAGAGACAGAGTGGGGTACAGAAGAGGCAGGTAGACTGAAATACACTGCTGAGGGGAGCAGTGGGAGAGACAGGAGAGGTCTGCCTCGCCATGTGGGTTGCTACCTGGCCGCCGGGGTCATGCTGCAGAGGCTGCGGATTGCTTCGCAGTGCAGTGCTTAACCCTTTGCGCCACCAGGGAGGCCCAAGATCAACATTTTTTTAAGTTATTATGTCTATGTACTAGTAATGACAAAAGCAAAATTAAACTTTTAAAAAATACTATTCAGGGCCTCCCCTGGTGGCGCAGGTGGTTGAGCATCACGCTATGAAGCTGTCCAAAGCCTCAGCAGTGCCGGTTTGATCCCGGCCAGCGACGGTCCCACATGTCGCGGCAGACCTCTCCTGTCACGCCCGCTGCTCCCCTCAGCAGTGTATTTCACCAGTCTGCCTGTTCTGTTCTCCACTCTTATCTCTGGTGAATCCTCTCACCTTCCCGTGCATCTGACCTGTTCCCTGGTTCTTGTATAAATAAATAAAAAAATAAATCTTTAAAAAAAAAATACTATTCACATCAGCACCAAAAGTATGTAAGTATTC